AACCTAACGGGTAACCGGGGCTCCGGCTCGACGTGCAGGAGAAGGAACGGGGTGGTTTTTAGTCAGTAAGAGTCTGACACTCCCTCCCGCCTCACCCAGGCGGGAGCAGTCATTCGATGATTTTCCCCCCTTAAAAAAAGTTTTTTTTTTAATTATTCAATTTACACTTTTCACTTTCCTACGATTTTATTATATGTATAGAAGTAAAAATGTTTTCTTTACTCAGGAACCAGAAGACACTCCTACCCCAGCCAGTCAGGCGCTCAGTCCCCAGCGCGGCGGTATATCTCTTGGCATACACGCTATCGTCAGCAAACTAACTGGATCTTCTGCTAATAATGTAAGTACTATCTATATCTATACATATGTGTAACTGTAAACATAATATCACGCCTTTTATCCACGTAGGGGTACGCAGAGGTGCACATTACGGCAGTTGATGCCAGTTTAACTCGTCGAGTACCGTCATTATAGACACAATTATAGAACAATAGGTTGCGGTCACCGGTGACCGCTTGGTGTTTGACAGTTTAATGTAACATCCACTTTTCACTATTTATGTTATGAGTCCCATGTAATAGGGGGTGAGCCTGCCTCGTTGGCTGAGTGGTCGCAAGTGCGACTGCTCGGCAACGGGTCTCGTTGTTTCGTCAGGTGTAGTTTATTATACGGACCTTGTGGAATCTACAACAAATTTCCGTGCGTTTAGGCGTTTTTGCCATACCTATTATTGGAAGCAAATATAACAGCTCACACATAGGACGAACTTAGTTTTTAGTCAAATTTCCGTGGTGCTTGGCGACTGGGCTTCACCCAGTTGTACAGTCTCTTTTTGTGCCTTTAGGCTTAATTCATTCTGTCTCCTGCAGTAATTCACCGAGGGAAGTGGAAACCATAATTTTTTCTTCTTCTCCTCTTATAATATCTTCTGAATCACTTCGTTGCGGGAACCAAGACAGTTACTCATGTCCCTGGGACGCGCCGGACTTCAGTGTTCTGGTGTTTTCATGGTTGTATCCACTGTAGATCCTGGCTTACAGGAGTTGGGAGGTATTGGGAGGTTGTGGCGGGCTTGTCCCATTAAAAAAAAAGGGATCTCGGATTCGATTCCCGGGTCAGGCTAAGTACTACTGGGTCTTTTTTTAAGAATGTCAATAGTAGCACGGAGTCTGGAACTGTGCCCGGTATATGGCAATAGGCTCACCCCCTATTACATGGGACTCATAACATTAATAGTGGAAAGTGTTGTTGCGAATCAATGTTTAGGAGTGGGAGGTAGCTACGTCACTTTTGAGTATAAATCGTACACAAAAGTGACGTCATGCGATATTTCCAATCAATATATCGTCGAAAGTATTTGTTTCTGTAAGAAAATAAAAAATACGTGTCTAATGTTTTTAAATAATCTACCAGACGGACATTAAAATAAAAAATTAGTCATCAACGTCAGTAGGGTAGTTTCCTACATTTTATTTGAATGTCCGTCTGGTACATTAACTTAAAACATTAGACACGTATTTTTTCATTTCTCACAAAATTAAATACTTTCGACGATATATCAATTTGAAATATCGTGTGACGTCACAGCGTGCCACATTTTGTAGCACGTTATGACGTAACAACCTCCCACTCCTAAACTTAGCGCCATTTTATCTAAGTATTGCAACTTAATACGAGTAAATAAAAAAATACGTCTCTAATATTTTTTCATTATCTAACTGACGGACTAATTAGATTTTTAATTTTGATACCCTGGAAACTATTTAATTATATTATATCTATAAATATATTCTAGTTCGTTAGCTATCCTTACGGCGCAGTGGTGCGACGGAACTCTCACGAGCATGCCGTCGGTTCGATTCCTGTGCAAGAAGATACAGTATGATGTTTATTTGAGTTTGCATAGTTTGGTTATACATTGTTATTACTGAAAAATATTTTAAATATTTGGGTTTTAATGTATAGTGCTAATATGTGTGGTTTTGATTAACATAATTATTTGAAAAATTAGTTTGTTTTTTTACTTTGTCTAACAATTAATATTAGGATGTCTAGGATTAACTAAAAATCACGAGTTACTCACGTGAATATACTTAGAAAAGCTTTTTTCTATAGCATAAGCCGGTAAACGAGCAGACGGATCACCTGATGGTGAGCAATCGGCGTCGCCCATGGACACCTGGAACACCGAGGCGTTACAAATGCGTTACCGGCCTTTTGGGGATTGGGAATCTGAGGATTGTGGAGGATTCGGGGATTCAAGAGACGGGGACTAGGGAGGGGGGTAATTGGGCCTCCGGTAACCTCAATCACACGACGAAACACAACGCAAGCGTTGCTTCACGTCAGTTTTCTGCTCGGCCGTGGTATCACTCCGGTCGAGCCGGCCCATTCGTGCCGAAGCATGACACTCAAACTAGCTATACTAGATTCTCACAAGGAGCTCTTTCTCTTGAGCAGCGTAGCTCGAGCAGTAGGCTGCGCGACGTAGCCGCAACCGCGCACGCATTAAATTAACACTGTTTAAACAAAAGTCCTTCAGATGGAGAATGGGAAAATTTTGTAATAAGTATGAATTTGTAATAAGTAAGACAGATACGACAAGTACGACCGACACGACAGATACGACAAGTACGACCGACACGACAGATACGACCGACACGACAGATACGACAAGTACGACCGACACGACAGATACGACAAGTACGACCGACACGACAGATACGACCGACACTTACTTATTACTAATTTTATGTTACCATATAGTTTTTCATCGATTTTAACATTAATGTTATTAAAGATTTCTATGTTTTCGGCTTACTCACTACTTACTACGTGAAAACATAAGAATTTATGTAGTATGTCTCACGAATGTTACAATACAAACATAAAATTTTTCATTGTCAATTTATTGATTTTTTTACAATATTTTTCTTCCTAGGAGCGCAATCTTTCCGAGCGTCGTATACGCCTCGTAATCACACTCAGTCGAACATTATTTAAGTTCTAATTTAGGTTATAAAACTTGCAAAAACTGCATTAAAATTACATAACATTTCATCGCTTTTAACCTTAAATTTATCAATTTTTATTACTTATCTTTCTAGGACCGTAATCCCTCCGAGCGTCGTATACGCCCCGTGATCGTAGAGGCGGGCCGTGGACGGGACTCGTGCGTGGCGTGCGCGGCACGTGGCGGACACATACGACTACTGCGGCGACTACTGGCTGCAGGAGCTGATGCTAATGCTGAGGCACTGCCCCCCAGTGACCTGGTGAGCGATATATCTTAAACTAGCTATTTTCTCGCGGTTCACCCGCTCTGGGGGTTTACTCTTAAATTCAATTCCGATTGATCGACATTGGTATTGTCAAGTGTTTTGTGTTAATTGTGAAAACCAAGACTCATGCCCCTGGGACGTTGGACTTCAGTGTTCCGGTGTTTGCATGGTTGTATCTACTGTAGATCCTGGCTTACAGGAGTTGCAGCGGTTTTGGGAGGGTGTGGCGGGCTTGCCCCATTAAATAAAAAAAAATGGTATTGTGAAATTTCGTACTCTTGAGTTGCAACACTAGCGCCCATTGCATCCGTATTGCGTGGATATTGAATGAACTAAATGGTATTGAGTTTGGCTTTATATTCCGTACTCTAAATGCTATTGCTTTATGTAATAGTATAAGATATAAGATTTTACATATGTTTTTCTACAGATGAATAGTGTCGATATGTCCCGCGACCGTCGCCGCTCCCGCTCAGCGTCGGCCGCCATGACAGGTGCGCGTGCTACGTCGGGGCCCTCGCCCGCACGGGGGGGATATAATACTGATAGTGAGTATGAAACAACTAACTTCTGCCAGCGGCTTCGCCCGCGTTACCATGGGATAAAAAGCCTATGTGTCATTCCAGAGCCTAGAGCTTAGCCTAGAGTTCCAGACCATAATCTATCCCTGTTCCAAAGGACGATGCCAGGTGCTCACTACATCTTTGACCCACTATATTAGAAGTCATGTACAAGTATGCAGTATTCAGCATCGTGTAGTGTATTAATTACCGATACCTAAACATTTGTCCTGAAACCTGTAAAACTTGCGGTTTTTGTTTAAAACACAAAACAATAATGATAACTATCGCGAAAACAACGGAAACGCAGAGAACGAATGAAAGATAATATTGACACTGACAGCTGACAACTGACGAGCGCTTCAAAACGTTTCGTTACACGAAAAAATCATAACAAATGAAATTAATCGTTTCTTTTATATTTTCGTGATTTCATCTGTAATTATTGATAAATAAATAAATGTTATACATAATTATACTTTTGATATAATATTTTATGTATAATGATATCTTTTTTACAGTTACTTACTTTTTTATTTTCATAGTTCCGTACAAGCGATGCGTACGATGTAACGCAAATAGTCATTAGACAATATGGAAGACGCATTGCAAAAAAGTATTTCTGGGATTGAACTTCTTTTTTATTAAATTGTAAACCGCAAGTTTAAAAATAAAAAGATTTATTATGAAAAGGTTCCTTATTCGTCAAAATTATTTTCATCAATTTACTTTTTTTGTAAATGATAATATGACTGGGTCAGGATTTGGCACTGTCATTTCATCCCGATCCCTTCAGCCAAACTCACAAATTTTCACATTTATAGGATTAGTACTATAATAAGACGTCACGCCTTTATTTAGTCGATCTGTAAACGAACTACATAACAAAGTCTAAGAATCTGTATCGTGTACTCGCCAAATAGTCAAATTCAATACATTTTTCGAACTGTCAAAAACGATAGATTTCTATGAATTTTGTACGAGATTGTGTATTGTGACGTCACGGTTTTTTAGCGTCAAACAACATAATTATTTGTTAAAAATTTGCTGGAAAAACACTAAAATTAAGTTTGTCATAAAATCAATAAATGAAAGTGTGATCATTTTTTAACATATTATTGTATTGAACAGTCGAGATAATTTATTTTTGGTGAAGGCAAGTATCCAATTGTATGTAGATTAGATGACAATACAATATTATGGTAAATTAAGTAAAATCGCGGGTTACTCACGTGAATATACTGAGAAAAGCTCTACTAGTTTCGAACCACAGAGGGGTTCTTCCTCACGGTCGCGTGCGCGCTCGCGGCGACGTCGTGACCGCGCACGCTGCTATATGAGCACGTGTGTAGCCCGCAATTTTACTTAATTTAGTATGTCTCACGATAGTTATTATAAAAATATTATGGTACCATCGAGCTGGTCTGATGGTGGAATTGGAATGTAAATGATGGAACCTTGGACTGAATACTACTGAATACTATTTTTATAGATTTAGGGAGTATTAAAAATTAGCATTAACTTGTACCTACCCTCACCAGGAGACAGTCCCTGGACAGCATTGGCCATAGCAGCTCGCGCGAAGAACATCCAAGTGGTAGAACTACTCCTGCAGCATGGAGCTACCGACCCTCACTGCAGGGCCATCAGGGAGTGCGCCAGGCATGGACTCACTGAGCTACTGGCCAAACTGCTGGCTACCAAGGTACTAGACACTATACAGTATACACTCGACACGTGGGTCTATTATACCCGAAACACTGCAGGGCTATCACGGAGTGCGCCCATACAATTTATTTTAAACAGTGATTCTACCGTTCCAGGCGTACCCAGACCCGGATTATAAATTAAACAAGTCCACAATATCGGAGGCTCTGTTCAGTGACAGGGCGGGGGACTCCACCCTCACGTACTCCGCCCTGTGTCCCTCCACCGCCGTCATGGTCAACTGGAGGGAACTGAGGGCACAACTTGCTACTATACGGTAGGTGCTCATCATCAACAGCGTATAAGTGGCCACCGGTGAGTGGAGACCAAAGGCCTCTTCTTATACGGAGAAGAATCAATTACAAAATTTGATTTCAACATGTCGCTGAATATCACCAAGCTCCATGTCTCAATTTATTTAAGTTTAGCTATGGCAAACTGAACGATATACCTCTAAAAACTAGGTTGCTTTTAGAGTGTCGCAATATATCACGCAATATATCAATAATTTTACGAAATTGACCCTTACAACTCTAAACACTAGGTCGCTTTTAGGATGTCATGAGTTCTAATCAGGTTAAAATCCTAAATGTCTACTGAACTATGATTAGCCTGGCAAAACTGAACCGTACCGTGATATAAATAGGACTGTTTTTTATGGCATAAGCCGGTAAACGAGCAGACGGATCACCTGATGGTAAGCAATCGGCGTCGCCCATGGACACCTGGAACACCTGAGGCGTTACAAGTGCGTTACCGGCCTTTTGGAAATCGAGAATTTGAGGATTGTGGTGGTTTCGGGGATTGGGGAGACTAGGGAGGGAGGTAATTGTGTCTCCGGTAACCTCACTCTCACGACGAAACACAACGCAAGCGTTGCTTCACGTCGGTATTCTGTGAGGCCGTGGTACTCCGGTCGAACCGGCAAAAATAGGTTTTCAGCAAGTCAAGTCATGCAATCTCACCAGTACCTTTAGCCAAACGCCACTTTAGCGCTTGTCTATCGAGAGAGAAGAAAACTAAATGTATGGGTATGACACTGACAAGTGTCAAAATTTACGTCAATTCCATATAATTTGGTTTTCTATTCTACGTGTAGACAAGCGTTAAATGGCATTTGGCTACAGTTGCTGGTTATTTCAATACAATGGTGCAAAACTGAACCTTATTCCCCTAAAATACACCACCTTTCAGCATGTCCTGGGTGCGAGCTGCCTGTCTCCGTGTAAACTCCAAGCTCGGCAGTAGTTCAGCCGCGCTGCACGGACTGACGAGGCTGGACGTCTCCAGCAACGACCTCAGGGTGCTGCCGCCTGAACTGTTCACCATGCTGAGTCTGAGGTGAGTTGGAAGGACAAAAAGTGACTCCGTACTACTACTGAGACTTTTACAAATCCAGTAATACTTTGTCCGACCCGGGAGACCCTTTGATCAGCAGTCGCACTTGCGACCACTCGGCCAACGAGGAGTCTGGAATTGTGCTCAGTATACGGCAATAGGCTCACTTGGTCACCCCTTTTACATGGGACTCATAACATAAATAGTGAAAAGTGAGTGTTACATTGTACAGTGGCTGTAAACATCTGCCTACACCTTCGGGGATCCCCCTTAAAAAAAAGCCCTTCGGGGATAAAAGGCGTGATGTATTTATAGGTCTACTGATGAGAATTTTAGTACCCACAGAAATATATTATCCGAAACGGAAATCGAACCTGATCTTCGATATTATTAATCAAGAATAATATTATCAACAAACCATACACGATAAATTAGAAATCTATTTAATCCGTCAGTTACCTAATGAAGAAATACTAATATGTCTTGACGTGTCTAAACACGTAATTTTTTATTTTGTCGTATAATAAAACTGTACTTAGATAAAACGAATCAAAGTTTAGGAGTGGGGGCTAAAACATCATTTCTACGTATAAAATGTACATAGAAGTGACGTCACGCGACATTTCAAATCAATATATCGTCGATACTACATATTAGTTTCTGTAAGAAAATAAAAAATACGTGTCTAATGTTTTAAAATAATCTACCTGACGGACATTGAAATAAACATTAGGCATCTACCCTATTTTCATAATTCCACAGGTTAACTAAAACCGCGGGTTACTCACGTGAATATACTGAGAAAAGCTCTACTAGTTTCGAACCACAGAGGAGCTCTTACTCATGAGCAGCGCGCACGGTCGCGGCGATGTCGCGCAGCTCGCTGATTTAACCTGTCAAACATCGCGAGGTCACCGGTGACCGCAACCTATTGTTCTATAATTGTGTCTATAATGACGGTACTCGACGAGTTAAACCTGCGATTTTAGTTAATTTAGTATGTCTCACGATAGTTATTATAAAAATTCTACAGGTACTTAAACGCAGCTCAAAACAAGCTGGAACGTCTTCCCACATCAGAAGATCCTTTCGAAGAAGATCTTGATACTAAGAAGAAGAAGAAAAAACAGAAGGCCAGGCCCGAGGTATACTCCGCACCTGTGTTACAAGAAGTCTACTTACAGGTAAGAAAAATTCTTGTAAGTCAAACTCAAACTCAAACTCAAAAGCATTTATTTCAATTAAACTGTCAAACACCAAGCGGTCACCGGTGACCGCAACCTATTGTTCTATAATAGGCATGGCGACGATTTTTTAATTTTTTGTCCGTCTTTTAGATATTTTAAAAATCTTCGATACGTATTTTTTCTTTTTTCTCGTATCCAAAAAAACATGTAGATATTTTGAGTTAAAATGACGCGTGACGTCACACTTAGGTACGATTTCTCCGTAAGTGTGACGTCAACACCCCCCACTCCCTAACTTTAATGCAGAATAACTACGTATTCTTCTGTTAATTTGATAAAACAAAAAATACGTGTCTGATATTTTCGTGCGATCTTAATGACGGACTAATTACTTTTTTGATTTTTTTACCCTGTCAACACGCCTATTGTGTCTACAAAACCGGTACTCGACGAGTTAAACCATAATTTGGTACTTTTGAAACGTCAACAAATATGAAATATACAATAGTCTGTCAGTCTGTCCGTCAGTGAAGCTAGGCGTTCGTTCCAAAATGTCGATTCGAGTGGAGAAGAACGAGCAAGAAACTCCATTCGTTACTCTTTTAAAAAAAGTCCGTTTTACATTGCTCTGATACATATTCCAATATTGTACACACATGCGAGAATAATGTAAAGACATACCTGACGCAACATACAAATAACAGAACATACTAAAATAGAAAAAAAAAAACAAATATCTTAAGTCTGACATGGTCCTCACATATGTATACTGACAATCTATATAAAATAGTACTTCTATATGGATTGTCAGTATGGTCTATGGTCTGACTTAGGTGATCCCGATTAAATGCTCTCATGGTATAAAACAGGAATAATATTCTATTTAAACTAAAAATCGCGGGTTACTCACGTGAATATACTGAGAAAAGCTCTACTAGTTTCCGTAATTATATTTCAGTTAATTTAGTATGTATCACGATAATTACTATAGAAACATATATAGTCAGAATTTTAATTAGATTCCAGATTTGACAAAAGCTACTGTCATTTTGTGAAATAATGATACCACATAATAGTGTAGTGATGAACACAAAAATCGATAAACAATCAGTGTGTGTGTTTTATAATAAATGTTACAGAAAGTGACAGGTTAGCGATAGCGATGACGGCGACAATTTATAAAATAACTTATTACCATAATACATCTATCTGTTTTATTTGCCATGTTCCTTCATGTTTACATTTTTTTATTTATTTCACAACACAATTATAAAAGAAAAATCTCAGTTCGTTAATTAATCGTCAAAACTAAATTATCGGTTCAGAAATATTTAATTTCCTGATATACTTAGTTTACTAGAGTAAAATTATAAACGAGAAGAATCGATCCAGAAATATTGCATTTCCATATCGAATAATTTCGCAACGTCACTATTTAGTAATTGTCATAACGTTGCAACACTGAAATTGTCAAATCTGATCACATTAGTGTAGATCATCTTTGTTCTTGTATTTCCAGGACAATCGCCTAGAAGAGCTCCCAGCCTCGTTATTCCGTCTCCCAGCACTGACAACCCTGGATGTCTCGAACAACAAGCTCCGCGCCCTGCCGGCCGCCATGTGGACAGCTCCGGCACTTAGAGACCTTAACGCTGCTCTAAATCATTTGAGGGACCTGCCTACTGGACCTCAGGTGAGCAGATTATGTAGACTGTGTCTAAGTGTGGGAGAGCCAAGCTTCGGCACTGCTGGGCCGGCTCGACCGGAGTGATACCACGGTCGAGCAGAAAACCGACGTGAAGCAACGCTTGCGTTGTGTTTCGTCGTGAGTGAGGTTACCGGCAGCCCAATTACCAGCAATTGAGTACAGCAATTATCTAAGTCACATAACATCATGTCCTTTTTCCCCGCAGGGGTAGGCAGAGGTGCACATTACGATACTTAATGCCACTGTACAATGTAACACCCACTTTTCACTATTTATGTTATGAGTACCATGTAATAGGGGGTGAGCCTATTCCACCATACCATATACCGGGCACAATTCCAGATTACGTGCTACTACAGAGATTTATTTTATTATTTTATTATCTTATGGGATTATAAAAAATATTGATTTAGACATAGAACTTTCAGAAATACATGAATTATTCTCTAGTGAACATGGTCAACATCTGGTCTCAATAAACCGTCTGAAACGGTTCTCTGGAGAAAAATGGGTTGATAGCGAAACAATTCGTGTATGTTTCAGGGGTCCCTCTTTGCCCTCGTATGTTGTTGGATACGGGTGTAGATTCAAGGTGGAACCCTATGTATTTCCAGTTACCCAGTGCTCAGGGTGCTGGAAGTTTGGACATATAATTAAGCAATGCCCCACAAAGAAAATTATTTGTCCCAAGTGCGGTGGTTTGCATCCCAATTGTGAAACAACACAATATACCTGTGTTAATTGTAAAGGACCACATATGTCCCTGGATAAACAATGTCCAATATTCTTAAGAGAAAAAGAAATACGTATAATTATGGCAGAAAATAATTGCACTTACAGAAAGGCATTAAATGTGTACATAAATAAAAATCAAATTAACGGAAACCAGTATACAAAAGAAATTCAAGATAACACGATCAATAATACACAAATATCAGATTCACAAAATTTTGTTACCTACAGGGATATAGTAGTTAGTAGCTTGCAAAATAAAGAAAAACAACTGGATGTTTCTATCATAAATACGTATAGTTCAAGTAATAGTAAGAATAAAAACAGAAATATAACAAAAAAAAGCAACAAGAACACATGTGAGAATATAATGGAATATGAACGAGAAAACAATAAAACAATACAGATTGATAAAACAAAAGTAACGGAGGAGGAGACGGAATGTAGGAAAAAGCGTAAAGTTGATTGGAAAATAATATTTAATAAAATAAGAGAAGTATTTTTGTCGAATAAAACATTTGAAGGAAAATTTCTGGCTGTGTTGAAACTAATAATTGATGAGGTTAAAAATTACGTCGTAGAGACATTTATCGAAACAGAGTGGTATAACAAAATATTCAATAGTCAAAATGATGACTAATTCTCTTTATAATGGTAAGCTCAACATACTTCAATGGAATGCTCAAAGTATCAAGCCAAAAAAACAAGAATTAGAGTGTTTATTACAACAGGAAAACGTTCACTTAGCTATACTAAGCGAAACATGGTTGAATGAAGAAATAGAAATGAACTTTAGTGGATATTATACATATAGGAACGACAGAGAAGATTCTTATGGCGGAGTTGCGTTTGTGATACATAAGTCACTTAAAACACAAGTATCAACACACAGAGTGGGTAACGTAGGTTTAGAAATGTTATGTATTAAATTATTGAATTGTTCTAGTTTAGAAAATATTATATCAATATATTGTCCATCTAATGTTCATACTTCACAGCTGGACTGGGATGATCTATTTGGGTTAGTTTCAAAAAAATCATTAATAGCAGGTGATTTTAATGCACATCATACAAACTGGTCAAACAGAAATGATACGAGAGGCGCGCAAATAATGAACTCTGCTATTGATTATGGCTATATACCTTTAAATGACGGAAGTTCAACACGAGTCAAACTTGTTAATGGCACAATGCAGGAGTCATCCCCAGATGTAACATTTATATCCACTGACATAGCTGTAAATTTTAAATGGACTGTAACCAATGAAAACCTAGGCAGTGATCACTTGATTATTAAAGTAGTATTAAACCATCGACGATATGGATGTAGTATCAGGAAGCGTAATTATAAATTAGCCAATTGGAAATTATATGCAGACACGCTTAGTTCAGATTTTAGTAACCCAGTAGGGACAGTTGAGATTCAAGAAAAATATAATTATTTTATAGAAAAAGTTAATTATGCCGCCGATAGGAGTATCCCGATAATTAAACTATGTACAGACCCTTTATCCAAATTTAAACCTAAATATTATTGGAACCCCGAACTTTCAAAGTCAGTAGCTCAACGACGACTGCTGCTAAAGCGATTTAGACAAAACCCTACTCCTGGAAACCTGACTTTGTTAGAACAAAAAATATATGACACTAAACGTTTAATAAAGAAATACAAATCTAGATGTTGGAACGATTTCTGTAATAATATTGATGAGTCGGTATCCCTCTCTGAGATGTGGCATCGAATCAGATGGGTTAAAGGATATAATAGACAGAAATTTCAGGCTTCTGATCAGCATATAGAGGAATTATTGTGTAGTTTATCCCCTGATACTGCGATCCCACAAATGCCACTGTTTCAATCGATAAATCCTTTACTAGAGGCGGACTTCAACATGGATGAAATGAACAGATGTTTAAAAAAAAAAGATACAGCCCCCGGAAATGACCTGATAGCATATTCTATGTTGTATAACCTACCAATAAACGCTAAATCTTTTCTATTAGATATATATAATAGTATTTTGGCTCAAGGACCTATTCCTTTGCAATGGCGATATGTTAAAATACATCCGATACCCAAACATGGTGACTTGGCGAGTCCGACACTTAAATTGAGACCTATTGCTTTAATGTCATGTGTATGTAAAGTATTCCATTCAATGATTACTAAACGCCTGGAATGGTTTGTTGAAAAAAATAAAATTTTATCGAATAAAACAACGGGCTTTAGGCGTGCACAGTCTACATTGGATTCCTTAGTACGATTAATATCTTATATACAAATAGGTTTCACAAAAAACTTGTCTACACTAACCAGTTTTCTAGATATTGATAACGCATACAATAATATTTTAATAAACAAGGTCGTCCTCGCATTAGAAGAATTAAACGTTGGATCTAAACTATCTAAATATATTTGGTCTTATCTGAGTGAGAGGAGATTGTTAATAGAAATTAATAAATATAGTGAACCTAAAGTTATATGTCGATGGACAAGTAAAGGTATTGGTCAAGGTGACCCTCTGTCACCTTTATTATTTAATATTGTTACCCATAAAATTTGTAAAAATATAACAGACGTAGTTATTTCACAGTATGCAGATGACTTCGTCCTTTACACAAGTAGTAATAGACTTAATGAAAGTACAATCAATATGCAAAAGGCGTTGAATACAATATGTTTACTTTTGCAAGATATTGGCCTCCAGCTGTCTGCTAACAAATCAAAATACTTTGTTTTCAGTAGACGTCGTAGAATACAACAAGTTCAACTTCAGATCAATAACATAACATTGCAAACTGCTGACAATATAAGGTATTTGGGTGTGTGGCTCGACAGGTCACTGCGTTGGGGTAAACATATCAACGAATTAGTTGAGAAAACGAAAAAGTTTGTAAATATACTAAAACTACTATCTGGTTCATCCTGGGGTGTGCATCCACTACATTTACGAAGACTATACATAGCATTGATAAGAAGTAGGATGGATTATGGTAGTTTCATGTATGATAATAGTGCTAAGACTCATGTTCATAAATTAGATGTCATTCAAAATCAGTGTTTAAGGATTGTAGGTGGATTTATAAGAAGTACCCCAATACATATTATAGAGTGCGAACTATGTGTTCAACCATTATTTGTGCGTAGATACTATTTAGCAGTGAAATATGTTTTGAAAGCAAGATCATGGTCTAATAATGTAACTATCAGCTTACTCGAAGAACTTAGCACTCTTTGCACTAGTCGATACTGGCATAATAAAAAGAAACCTCTCTTAGCAACTGCTTATGGTGAAACAAAGAATGAAGTTATAGATAACAGTGAACCTCTCAGAATGTTTACCTTAGATACTTGGGTTTCAAACATCAAAACATCCCATATATTTAACACTAGTTTAGACTGTATAATGTCCAGTAAAAATAGCTATAATCCTGTTATAATGAAAAGCAATATTTTAGAGGAATTAAACAGAAAATACCATGGGTGGCATAAAATTTATACTGATGGATCAAAGAGTGCTCATGGTGTAGGTGTGGCTTTTTTTGACCCATATAATAGTAAAAACAATGATTTTGATTGTTTTTTTAAAATAAATAATAAAAATGTATGTATTATGACGGCGGAACTTACTGCAATACTGCAAGCTTTACTGTATCTCAAAAATAAGACCTGTTATAGAAAGGTGGTAATTATATGTGACAGTAAAAGTTCTTTACAGCATCTGGTTCGATGCGCTTCTGGCTACAGAGGTGCATCGATAGCCTATGCTGTATTAAATCTTATATATGAGTACCAACATAAAAATGATATATCTTTGAAGATACAGTGGGTTCCATCGCATATCGGTTTACAGGGAAATGAGGAGGTTGATCAATTAGCAAAGAATGGATCCAGAAGTGGTTCAGATCTTGATGTCAAACCTTGTCCTTTTGAAGTATTACCAAAATTCAAAATCAGTTGTCACAAAATTTGGAAAGAGTTTTTTGATAAAAATTCATTACAAAAAGGAATCTGGTATAGGACCATGCAGAGCGAGCCTCCTCGTATTCCTTGGTTTGCTGATATTAGAATAAGTAGAAAATTTATTGTAACTGCGCATAGACTAAGGTCTGGACACATTCCTCTCAACAAGTTCGGTTTCCTAATGAGGAAAACAAGCAGTCCAAATTGTGATGCATGCGGAGTAATAGAAGATGTCCAACACTTGTTACTGGAATGTGTCCGATATAAAAGGGAGAGAGAAATATTAATTCAAGAATTGAACATTAATGTTGTAGAAATAGGTGCTTTTCAGTCCATTCTGTCCAAGCCATACTGTGACGGTGCTGTTAAGATCTATGAGTTCGTATGTAGCTTGGACAGATCCTAATATTTCTTGCTACTCCAATAATTCTCATGGTCACGATGAGTCTGGCATAATCCGCTTAGATTTAAAGACTCTTATTATATTTTAATAAAGAGAAAAAAAAAAAAAAAAAAAAGATTTATTTAAATCCCAGTAAAACTTTGCCTGACCCGGGAATCGAACCCGAGACCCCTTGCTCGGCAGTTGCATTTGCGACCACTCGGCCTATGAGTCACGCAATTATCTAAATATGTATGAAAATATAGTAATAGCAAGAATTTTGAACATTTTTACAGTATTATTAACATCTTTACAGAGTAATTCAGAATGCAACAGTCCACAACAACTGGCGTCTCCGTCGGAGACTTCGCCCCAACTCAGCGCTTCGCCCTCCATTGGAAGCGCGCAGTTCGCTTTAGCTATGCAATCAGTAAGTGGTTAGTGATTGAAGTGAGTGAGTGAGTGAAATGAAGTGCCTGAAGTGAGTAAAATGAGTCAGTGAGAATGTGAGTGAATGCATGTAGTAAGTGAGTAAGGGAGTGAATGAGTTAAGTTAATGAGTGCGTGTAGTGAGTGAAATGAGTGAGTATGGTGAATGAGCGGGCGAGTGAGGGAGTGATTGTTTGATAGTGTGAGTGAAGTGAGTGAGTGAGTGAGTGGGTGATTGATTGAGTGAGTTAGTGAAGTGAGTGGGTGGGTGAGTGAATAAATGAATAGGAATAATATTATTAATTTGAGTATGATTTAATATCAAAACACATCTGCACATCTCTATTTAGAAATCATCATCAAGAAGTCCATCAATAGAGCGCAGTGAATCGGAGGCTGCTGATGATGATGAGAGCGATGCGATTCCCGTGCTAACCAACCGCGCTGGGAATGCAGTGTAAGTTAAAAATATATTTATAGTCTAATAGATGTTTAAACTTGGAACTTAATTAATTCATAATAATCCATTTGGAATTTAAATGATTCCTCAGTCGAAAATAAATTGTTTATAACTCAGATTTCCTATTTGTCTACTTATTTCTTAAACAATAAACTAAAATTATTTTCAAACATATGAATGAAAAAATGATTCACTTAGATTTTTTTCATTTTCAACATTTTGAGTAATGTGTTAAATTAAAATGACATAAAATGGTTCTGTTCTGTTCTGTGCCAGTTGGTCGGAGGCCCGGCGCGCGCACACGTGGCGCGGCGTGGTGGAGGGCGCGGCGCCGGGCGCGGGCCGCGGGGGCTCCGCGCTGGCCGCGCTCAACCTGGCGCACAACCAGTTCACCTGCGTGCCCTGCGCCCTCGCCTGCAGGGCGCCCAACCTCACCCGGCTCAATATGGCCTATAATTCGCTTCGGTACGTTCTTTACCAAATTATTAACTACATTAAAAAAAAAGAAAGAGGTTCTCAATTCCATTTGTATGTATGTGTGTATAAGTGTATGTTTGTCGGCTACTATCTCGCGATTGGCTGAACCGATTTTAATGCGGTTTTCAGATTTTTGTTATACTTAGGACCAGGTTTGAATATATTTAGAAGAGCCCTTGTTACAGTTAGGACCAGGTTTGAATACATTTATAAAAGTGTTTGTTACAGTTAGGACCAGATTTGAATATATTTACTAAAGCGTTTGTAACACCTAGGATCAGGTTTGAATATATTTAGACGAGCGTTTGTTACAGTTAGGACCAAGTTTGAATATATGTACAAAAGCGCTTGTTACAGTCAGGACCAGGTTTGAATATATTTACTAAAGCGTTTGTAACACTAAGGACTGGGTTTGAATATATTTAGACGTGTTTGTTACAGTTAGGACCAGGTTTAATGCATTTATTACATAAATATTAAAAATATACTACCTTTTTTTTCGTCTTCGTCGTCAAGATCGCCTGGTAGTGGCCCGGAAGTTTAAGACCCGCTTCTCATGCATAAAAATGAGAGTCAAAATCTACCAACGGCAAGTCCCATATGTACTTTCTAAGATTATTTAGACACCACTGACCAACGGTGAAGGAAAACATCGTGAGGAAACTTGGGCTTATAATTTCTAATTATAAGTTTGAAATCGCCAACCCGCATTGAGTAAGCGTGGTGATTAATGCTCAAACCTTCTCCGTGTGAGAAGAGGCTTTTGGTCAGCAGTGGCCACTTATAGACTGATGATGATGATTTTTTATTTGTTTAACAGATCGATGTCATATGTGACGTCATATCCTACAAGTCTACGGCAGTTGGATCTCAGCCATAACGAGATTACGTGCTGGCCCAGTCTACCGCAAGTAAGTACTCTGTTTTGATAGCTACAAGGTCGAATTTAGTTTGAACATGCTTATTTTTAATTTTATATTTTGCGTCGGCCTGTTATGTCGAGTATCAACCAAAGTGGACTTGTTACTTTCAACTTAGATCGATACCCAGGTTACTTGTCGTCATTTTGGATTCTTGAACTCGTCTTACCTTTCTGCCAGACCCTGAGATCATTTTCGAACTTTTTTTTGTGGGTGGAAAAGAAATCATTCAATGAGTTCTCCCGCCTTGGGTTAGGCAAGAGAAAATGTCATACTCTTCCTGACTAAACACCACCCCGTTCCTACTCCTGCACTTCGAGCCGGAGCCCCGGTAACTAGTTAAGTTCTCCACGGCTCTGTACGGCATCAGCCCTACTGGGCCCCATCTGTGGTGATCTGATGGCTATTTGTGTCGCGTACGGGATCATTTCCGGACTTCGGGTGAAATTGAGTTCACTTCTAATAGTTTTGTATTATAATTATGTATAGATGTGAGAATTTTCTTTGTTCTAATATTGGTCCGTCAATCACGCTGAAACTACTGAACGGGTATTGATAAAATTTGGCATACAGGCAGGGTATAGGCTGACTTAGTTATAAGACTTTTATCCCGATTAAATGCTCCCATGGAATAAAACAAGAATCGTATTGTATGCGGACGTAATCGCGGGCAACAGCTAATACAAATAACTTAGTTGACTTTGCACCCGATTAACCTAAAATCTCACCAAAACTCCGTTTTCCAGGTGGAAAGTTTCGGCTCAACAGAAGGCGATCCGTTAGCCTGTTTCTGTCCTAACTCCGGCAACAATGTGAGGTCCAGACCTCGCTCCGGAGGGTCCGTGAGGTCACAACTACTTAGCGCCGCATGTGTCGCCAGGAGACATCTTAGGCTGGAGGGACTGAGGACACTGGTGAGTGAGATGTGATCATGAGAAAAAAGAAGCGGTGGTAAGGGAGAGGGGGATAAAAAGAGGGGGACGGGGGTAAGGGGGATAAGGGTGAAAAGAGACAGTTGGTTAAAGGGAGAGACAGGGATATAGAATAAATGATGTGGGACGCGAGATAGATAGAGAGATGGGGTGGACTTTACCTCGTTGGTCGAGTGATAACTAAACCTGTATTTTGCGCTATAAAAATAAGTCTCTACTTCACTCTGTCCCCTCTTACCCCCTCTTTACACCCCCTCTAACCTCCCCCTAATGAAAATGTATAATACTATCACTCTCTACACTACACGAGTCACTGTTTACCATCACTCACTCTGTCCCCTCTTACCCCCTCTTTACACCCCCTCTAACCTCCCCCTAATGAAAATGTATAATACTATCACTCTCTACACTACACATATCACTGTTTACCATCCTATATCCATTGCCTGGACAATCACTGCAAGAAGTACTGTCTATAACTCCTGTTTGTTCCAGATCTTAGCCAATAACCTCCTGACACGTATCCAGCTGACGACAGACGATGATGGACTGTCATCAGCCGCGCAAGAGGACTCCACCACTGATGATGATGACGAATGGGTAATTGAACAATTGTTTCTTGAAAAAAATATTGTTTTCACTTCTGTTGTAGTTTACTATATAAAAATAAGTCTGGTTTTCCTTCCTGACGCTATAACTCCAGAACTCACGAACCGATTTCCACGGTTTTACATTCGTTGTAAAGGTCTCGGGCTCCGTGAGGTTTATAGCAAAGAAAATTCACAAAAAAAGAAAGAAAATCACCAAACGAAATGTTACATAAAGCGAAGCCATCTGGTGGCGAAACGGAGTTCGGCCGGGTTTGCTAGTATCTAATAATAATAATAATAAACTTATGATTCATCTTATGCTTAGTTTTTTAGTTCTATTTATTATACAAATTTAAAAGAAATAAATAGCAATAAAATATGTCGCGACAACTCGCTATTATACGAAAAATTCAAAAATGCGCTTAATTTTACTATTTAGTTTTTTATTACATAAGCCGGTAAACGAGCAGACGGATCACCTGATGGTAAGCAATCGGCGTCGCCCATGGACACCTGGAACACCAGACACATTACAAGTGCGTTACCGGCCTTTTGGGGTTTGGTGATTTGTGGATTGTGGGGAGTCCGGGATTGGGGAGACTGGGGACAGAGCCTGCCCTGTCTCTAGTCTCCTAAAAAAAAGGAAATTTTAAATCCTTTCTTATCTTCTAGAACACAGGCTCCCCCCTCAAAGGCCGCCTCCTGTTCCCCCTCCTGTCGATGCTGGATGTGTCCTGCAACTTGCTCCGCGGTATACCGCCAGCTATACATGAACTCACCAACCTGTCCGTACTTAACATCAGTGGGAATAAAGGTGAGGTGCATTTTACTACTTTTTGAGATACTCTGTTGAAATTTTGAAGGATTTTGTGACATTGTGATGTTGTTTTATCACCTTTTAGTAACATTTTGGGGGGTTTTGTGATAATCCGTTGGCATTTTGGAGTTTTAGTGACATTTTGCGACTATTCAGTGACATATTTTTATTTTTATAGTGACATTTTTGGGGTTTTAATTACATTTTTGGGTTTTAGTTACATTTTGTGGTTTCAGTGACGTATTTGAGGTTTTGTGACATTTTAGGGTTTTTGTGACTACCTGGTTACTATTCGTGGCTTTTAAGCCAGTGCAATTCTTGTAAGCCAGGATCTACAGTAGATACAACCACGCAAATACCGAAACACTAAAGTCCAACGTCACAGGGACACGAATAACTGTCTTGGTTCCCGCAACGAAGTGAATCAGAAGATATTATAAGAGGAGAAGAAAAAAACGATAGTTTCCACTTCCCTCGGTGAATTACTGCAGGAGACAGAATGAATTAAGCCTAAAGGCACAAAAAGAGACCGTACACACGGCCACACATCAATCTATACAAAACCAGTTTACTGTGGTGTCGCGTCGCATCATCTTTCCGCACATTTAACGTTCAGTTTATACTGGTTATGTAAAGCTCGATGTGTAGCCGTCTGTACAACTGGGAGAAGCCCAGTCACCAAGAGAGATGTTTGTTAATCTTTGAACTCCTAAACAGATGGACCGACTTATACACGATATTTTTATTTATTATATTTCTTTAACAGATATAACAGACCTACCCCCACAAATGGGTCTCCTGTCCCGTCTCTGGAACCTCAACACAGTAGGGTGCACCTTGCAAGATCCACTGCGCTCCATGTTACAATGTGGCCGGTATAAGAGCATGGACATTGTGGGTTACCTTAAATCCGTCCTCCAGGAAGCGAGGCCGTACACAAGAATGAAGCTTATGTTCGTTGGGTTACAGGTGAGATTCAATTGGCTATTCTGTCTTCGCCATCATTGTCACAATGTTATTGCTGAGCAAAGATCTCTTCTCACAAGGAGAAGGTTTGAGCATTAATCACCACGCTCGCTCAATGCGGGTTGGCGATTTATTAGAAATTATAAGCCCAGGTTTCCTCACGATGTTTTCCTTCACCGTTTGTCAGTGGTGCCTAAATAATCTTAGAAAGTACATGTAACTCTGAACAAGTCACATTGGTACTTATCAGTAATGAAACGTGGTTCACCAACCTATTAAAAGATGGAAATAATGCATTTATTGGAATTTTTATAATAACAATCGTGAGACTTACTAAATTAACTAAAATCGCGGGTTACTCACGTGAATATACTGAGAAAAGCTCTACTAGTTTCGAACCACAGAGGGGTTCTTCCTCATGAACAAGTTTTAAATTAAATAATAGGAATATTTTTATATGTTAAAGTGTTTTTGTAATTACTTTTTATTTATGACATAAGCCGGTAAACGGTCATACGGATCACCTGATGGTAAGCAATCGGCGTCGCCCATGGACACCCGAAAAACCAGAGGCGTTACAAGTGCGTTACCGGCCTTTGGTAATTAGGAATTTGAGGATTGTGGGGCGTGATTGGGCCTCCGGTAAACCTCACTCACACGACGAAACACAACGCAAGCGTTGTTTCACGTCTGTTTTCTGCTCGGCCGTGGTATCATTCCGGTCGAGCCGGCCTAGCAGTGCCGAAGCTTAACTATCGTGAGACATACTAAATTAACTAAAAACCGCACGGTCGTGGCGGAAGGAGGAAGGAATTAGGATGAGCCCCTCTGTGGTTCGAAACTAGTAGACCTTTTATCTGTATATTCACGTGAGCACCCGCTATTTTCAGTTATGTTTTAAAATTTTGTTCAAGTAGTTTTCATTATTTGTTCTTTATGTTTATTCAGGGTATCGGCAAGACGAGCTTGTTAGAATGTTTAAGACAAGAGTCTTCGATACAACATCGGAGGAAGCCTACTGAGGTATGTACCCACCCTTTTTTTATTGTCTGAGGTAAACCTTCAAAAGGCGCCTAGCTTTTTCGGAAAAAGACTAGGGAATGTGGGATTTTTCCCTTACTACAGAATTAGGAACACCACGTTGCGCTCCACAATTAAAATCGTTGATGTTGGTCATAAAGCCGCAGGCTTGAAGTGAAACTGGGCTGGTCATATCTGCCGCATGTCAGACGAGCGGTAGACAAAACTTACTACTGAGTGGAGCCCACTCAACGTCAAGAGACGTGGCGTGAGATTGAGGAGGGGGCGGTATTTGGGGCTCCACTGCCGCCACTGCCACGCCTGCCCCCCGCTATGGTAGTGTCAGTATGGTGTCCAGTTCGTTGGTGGTATCACTCCGGTCGAACACTGCAGGCTCGGGGCATGGCGAGCCCACATTAAGAGTTTCTAATTAATTGATAAAGAGTAATCTATGGAGTTTCTTGCTCGTTCTTCTACATTTCTATGTCTATCTACACTTTGTAACGAGCAAATAGAGAAACTAGAGGACTGGCCGACAGACTGATATTGAACATATTCTTAACTTTTAGAAAGATTTTAATTTAAATAAACAGTTTAATTCTATTTTCTCCAGCACTGGGCAAAACGTATGGGCAACAAGTCGTCTCGTCGTGGGAATGTGTCCACTGTTGGAGTAGATATTGGCACCTGGGTGTATGAGAAACATCGCTCCACGCGGGGACCCATCACTTTCCGGACCTGGGACTTCGGGGGACAGCAAGAGTCAGTATTATACTTTTCATTATCTGCGTAATTATTTAAAAATTTTTTAAACTGCTCATTTTGTTTCGCCGCGCGACAGTCGGGTAAGGCTCTAGACAAACGGACCGCATTTCAATTGCAATCTAAAATATCTCCGCTAATTGCAGTTTGAATGCAGTCGTGTCACGACTGCCATTTAACTGCAAACCAAACGAGCAGTCCGATTGAAGTTCTATTGCAGTCATGACCAAACGAGCAGTCCGAATGCAGTTCTATTGCAATTCCTGACCAAACGGTTGCAAACCAAACGAGTAGTCCGATTGCAGTTCTATTGCAGTCATGACCAAACGAACAGTCCGAATGCAGTTCTATTGCAGTCATGACCAAACGGTTGCAAACCAAACGAGCAGTCCGATTGCAGTTCTATTGCAGTCATGATCAAACGGTTACAAACCAAACAAGTAGTCCGATTGCAGTTCAATTGCAGTTCCTGACCAAACGGTTGCAAACCAAACGAGCAGTCCGATTGCAGTTCTATTGCAGTCATGATCAAACGGTTGCAAACTAAACATGTAGTCCGATTGCAGTTCTATTGCAGTCATGACCAAACGGTTGCAAACCAAACGAGCAGTCCGATTGCAGTTCTATTGCAGTCATGACCAAACGGTTGCAAACCAAACGAGCAGTACGATTGCAGTTCTATTGCAGTCATTTCAACTGCACCCACGCTGGAGCCGTCTGGTGGGTGGAGGTGCGGTACCCCATTATGTAACGTTATTAAACAGGCTGGTGCTAAAAATCAGCGCTATGGACTCCAGCCTTCGTGTCTGGACACATCATTAGGCTGAGCTCCGGCTTTTTGCGCTGCGACGCACCATGAACATATTTTTACGTGTTCTTGTATTGTCTGCGTGTGTATCGTGGCGTAATAAACGCATTTAATTTCTTTTTCTTTCTATTCTTTCTTTCTTTTCTTTGTTTCTATCCGAACTGCAATTTGCAGTTGAAATGTTAGTCTGTTTGGAGCCTTAAACTATAGATTTTTTTATTATTATAAATATTTACAGTTTATAAAATATTTTCCCTCCCACACAGGTACTACGCCACCCACCAGTACTTCCTCTCCCGGAGGTCTCTATACCTCGTGGTGTGGAGGGTCACTGACGGGAGGAAGGGACTCGCCGGGGCACTTAACTGGCTCAGGTATATATCTTATGTTTTATTTTTATTTTAAAATGCTTCACGCACACACT